TTCGGAAACATCGTCTCAACTAAAAGCGCACGAAAAAGACACACAAGTCAAGTGTTAAACGGCTCCAAAAACAGCGTAAAAACCCATTTTACGTTCACGTATTTTTAAGTTTATAAATTAACACATTAGACTTTGTGAAGGCAATGGATATTTTTTAAGATCTGATTAGTTCTATTTTCTTCAATCGGTAATTCAATAATATTGTTTATTTGTTATTTGAAAATGTGGCAAACGAGCTGGCGGTTCACATGATGTTAAGTGATAACCGCCGCCCATTGACATGTGCAACACCCATAGGGTTGCAGAGGCGTTGCCACCTTTTATTAACGTGCGCTCCGACCACCTCACTCAGCAGACGAAACGTAGAACTGTAAAACGTCCACTTCTCATTGGTCTTCTGTAACGTCGTATCACTAACTCGGATAGACCTGCCCATTCGTGCAACATTCGACTGTTGCGTGTTCCTACTACGTTCAAATTATCTAAAACAATATGTTTTACTCTCAAGTTTGAGTTGTGTTGAGCTCCAAGCTCAAACGTTGAGTATAGAACGTTAGTGATGGAAGAGGGTACGTGCGAGAAAACGCAAAGGTAACCATATATTCGACGAATAAAACGACGATACTTACGAGGACTGGCCGGGGGTAAACGTTCTTAGGGGTAACAATATATCTCGGGACCCTGAACGCAATGCATGTAAGGGTTCAAGAAATATAGGGGCCCCTATTGCTTATTGGAGTCGGAACTAGCGAATTTGAATAAAAGGCCGTCGTAAAATAGTCGCCGTCGTATTATTGTAACGGCGGAATAGTGTTGTGCGGGTGACGGATGATATCGATATTCGTAGATTCCGTTGTCGATAAAAATAGCATTTATATCATGTACATAAGCTGCTATAAATTTATATTTTATATTTTTGTATATCCGTAATAATTAGTGCAATAGATTCAACACATCTTTAGCTTTTTCGTTTTTCGAGATAGATTAAGTCCTTAAGACACAAAAGGTCTAAAATGATATACACTAGGCCAGAATGACAGACTTGAGATCTGTCTAATTAATTTCAATTGAAACAGGGTCGTGTAGTAATAAGTTTTCCGTTTTACTATTTTCCAACGTACAGCAAATAGTGTCTTCCACTTGTGTCAAGCACATGCTAAAAACTCAACATACACCATAGTAACAATTGAACCATAGCTGTATGGATAACACGTTAACTGTTTAATGCCTGAGGGCTTGATACATCTAAAACTGTAAATAAGGGGCAGCCATGAGAGACAAGAGAAATCGGCCATGAAAACATCGACTGAATCGCCCATAACTCGCATCGATTAAATCGATAACGCACAACCCTATCGCAGTGGAAACCTATCATCGCAAACCCTTCAACGGCGCTATAAACCGGGTCTCAGGCGACCGTCCATATCTGACCCGTCGCCCCGTTTCAGCCCGGGTTAAGCTTTCCATATAAAGGGAATCTTTACGCCTTTTTTTCTCATTTCCAAGCTACAAGACTTTGCGCTTAGTGTGAGTTGTGTAACTGCGAATTTAAAAACGTAGCTTTTGGGTTTATAGGTCTTATAAGCGGTTCGATGTCTTAAAATTATCGCGGTGTTTTGAAATTCTAAATTCCATGGAATTGAGAACTTCAAATCATCTCGTACCGGCTGAGTGGCTGTTGCCTGCCGATTCTGAGGTTATTTGTTAATTGCGGAGAATTAACTCAAACCCAAACAAGAACCTTGTATTTTTTCGTGTTCTAGAATGTCATCTCAATTCCTTCCTCCATTGCTAGGGAGGTAGGACAAAAACAAAAGCACTTCCGCGTTCATAACGCAAGTAGGGAAAGCGGGGTCCCATTGACCTCGTCGTAAGAAATCAACTCGACATGGGGCCACGTTGCGAATTAGTCCACAGCTCTGTTTTACGATAATGCTCCGCCTAAGTAGGTTGCCATTAGGAGATTTACGAGACGAACGGGAACTATGAGTTTCACAGTAACCGCGAGCGAGTGATATTTCTCTTTGGGGATAAAAAAAACCTCGTAAAATCTCCACAGATCGCGAAGTGGGGAGACTGACGTCAATAACGCTTCCGCCCCCGGGTTTTATATCTCCATGTGCCTTTGTTACGCAGTTAATTCTGTTTTATCTGTTTAGTGAAATGCAGGATGGTATAATTTTTGACCAGCGGCTTTATTGCGGGACCCAGTTGGCAGAACGGCAATCGATTCCTGTCTAATTATCTACTGAGCCAGCGATCAACGCGGGTTCTCGTACGTCGTTAAGTAATCTTTTTACAGCAACATAATAAACGAACAGTTGATTCAACTGACGTTACATTTCAAATGTGCATTGCGTGTTGAATATACTCGAAACTAATCTATTATGAGTTGAATGAGTGATACTATCCCATAGCCTTAGGGCCATGCCACCAAACCTGAGAGATCAATACAATTACATCTTTTTAACTTTTTTTTATTTTTAAAATCAAGTTCCTATCTATCAAGGTTGCTAAAATCAATCACAACTTTTGTATTCTACACATAGAAAGGGATTTAGTAAAAATGGAGTGAACATCAGGTGCACGTTTTACTAAAACCACACTTGATTTTTTTAAGAATATAGATTTATACACTCAACTTCTCCTCGGATCCATTAAAGACAAAAGAACGAGAAACGTATAAAACTCGAGGTTTAATTCCATCGAAAATGTTCCAGAAGGAAGCCACTTTAAGCGAGAATAAATTAAATCTCGAAAAGATTACGAGGTCGGGTTTTTTTTAATCCGGAATATATTGTAGAGAACGAAATTTGGTCGAGTTTTAATATCGTTGCGTTTATTGGGGGTTTAATGTGTCTTATCGATAAAGGTATAGCGGTTTATTTGTAAGTGACCTATGTCTTCATTTATCTTCAACTGGCTAGTGTTTCTTTAATATATTTTCTTTTTCTTAAATATCTTAGGACACATTTTTACACAACATTCTCTAGTCCCAAACTAAGCAAAGCTTGTACTAAGGGTGCTAGAAAACTGATAAACATTTAAATTGTTTATAGTGCTAATCTTTGCACTTAAGATTGAACATTAAAATATATAGAAAAAGTGCGAAAAGATTGTCGCCGCTGTGGGAATCGAACCCACGTCTTCGGCATTCGCGGCCTGACGCTCTAGCCACTGAGCTAAACGGCTGATTACCACACCGACGAAAATCTTAACGCATTCTTCCACATTGTTTTCTTAGCATTTGAAGCAATATTTCTACATATTTTAATGCAATTTTTCTACATATTTTAATGCAATTTTTCTACATATTTTAATGCAATTTTTCTACATATTTAATGTTCAATCTTAAGTGCAAAGATTAGCACTATAAACAATTTAAATTTCTAAAAAAGCAATGGCGACATCTCTCGTTCGAATTATCGTTGTAAAACGATATTCGAAGTTGTTTGTATGCTGGAAAGGATATAACAAATAGATGGCGCTAAGCATTGCTTCAAATGCTAAGAAAACAATGTGGAAGAATGCGTTAAGATTTTCTTCGGTGTGGTAATCAGCCGTTTAGCTCAGTGGCTAGAGCGTCAGGCCGCGAATGCCGAAGACGTGGGTTCGATTCCCACAGCGGCGACAATCTTTTCGCATTTTTTCTACATATTTTAACTGATAAACATACTTATACATACTTTTTTTTTGTAAATAAATACATATTATACATATATACCCAGACACTAGAAAAACACTATGTTCATCACACAATATTTTTCCAGTAGCAGGGATCGAACCCACACCCTCGGTCGCAGGAGGCAGGTACACTACTCACTACGCCTTTCAGGTCGTCATGTTTCAATATCAATGTTTGAAATGTTACTATTGCTTTGAAAATTGAAATCGCGCTGTTTGAAGTCCAAATTGCTATTGCTAAATTCGAACCTATTTCAAGATCTTACAAACGTAATATTCTTTGTCATTGATTAAAATATTAACAAACAACCGAAGACAAAACGATGTAATTTAAAGTTAATCTTCATGAATCACGAATAAATAATATGCATTGGGCATGCAATGATAATAATGTATACCCTATTCAACTTTATGTAACGGGTGTTTCAAATATCCATTAGCGGTGATTGTCACTTACCATCAGCAGAACCTTCTCACATTAAAACAAATATTCAAACTAGATTAAAAAGTTTATACAGAATCATATTTGATTTACACATTACTCCCGATTGCCTCGCTTTCAATTACAGTTTGGTTAATTTTCATATCTACAACATTATAGGTCAAACAATCGAGAACTAGTAGTCGGATAATGCAGTCATTGGACTAACAGCTATTAATTATCCGACAGCCGCTCAAACAGCGTCATTATTCGAACGATATTAGCATCGATTCCGCATCCCAGTTATATACGTCAGTTAAAAAACACAGCAGCGTTCAGTTTTACTTCCGCGGTCATTCACAATTGATTGCGTTCCACCCAATTATAAAATTTAACCACAAGGTTGCTCGATATAGATTCTGCATTCCCTGGCTTAAACTTAGGTTAAGAAAGAGATGTAGGCGATAAAATCGCGCATGTAGCTTTAGCTGTGTATAAAGTGGGACTAATTAAGAGTTTACACTGTCACTATCGGCATTTATGTTGGTAAGGAAATTACTAATTCGCTTTAGATCTTTGCTCCTTATGTAATTTGGAAAGTCTGATCACTTGTAATAATTCACATAACAAATATTTTTATAGCAGACATAGAAAATAGGAAATTATGTATCAGTCGTGAAGAGGCTTAAAAAGCAAAATTCAATTAATGAAAATTCGATGTTTAATTCGTGCATACTGTAATGATTTTAGAGCCTCCTTGATTTTTATGATTGATGTTTTTATATGTTGTAATTCTTCACAACGTTTTATTTTTTAAATCTTAGGCATTTTACTTTCAAAAATCCCACACCAAATCCGCCGTTGCACGGTCTTCCGCATTGCAAAATGAGTATCATTCGATGGCACGCTCTTCTATTAAAGGAAGGTACTTACATATAACGTTCAGCGAGGCGTTGGCCCTTATGACCTTGTGCATCTGGGCCGGTCCTACTTGGCATTGGTACTCCGCGTCGTCCTCCAGGGTTGCGTTGACGATCCGAAGGTTGTAAACGCCGTGCCGTCTGTCACCGAACATGGTGTAGCGGGGGTATCCTGGTATTACCGACGAGAAGCCTGGAAACAAAAAACAAAAACATAGTTTCTCCATCTAAAAAGTCTTTTTTTTATGTGACAAGGTGGCAGGCGACCTGGCAGTTCACTTAAAGATAGTGATAACCGCCACCCATGGACCACACCTGTAGGATTGCAGATGCGTTGCCACCTTTTAAAAAAGTGGGCCCCGGCTACCTTACACACCAGACGAAACGCAGAAGTATAACACTTCCAATTCACGCTGGTGGTAAGTACCACGAATAACCAGGACGTACCTGCCCATTCGTGCAACAGCCGAATCTGTTGCGTGACCCTACCACTTTCATTCACAGTCTCTGGAAAACCTATAACATTGTGTCTCACACTGTTATAATTTTATTATCCATGTTATAACTAATCAATGAAGTTGATATGTCCTGTATTCCTGAGGGCACGTAATAGAACTTTCCATTTTCACTAAGCACATCAAAAAGTATCGTAGCCATATACCTAGCACTTACATTATTATTATATGTACTTTATTGAACACCATAAAACATAAAAGGAACAATGTTACAGAAGTAAACTCAACCTCAAATACCTCTTAGGTAGAAACAATAAGGCGGTCTTATCGCTAAGGAGCGATATCTTCCAGACAAAATTGTGGCTAAAAATATTTTAATTTTGACAACGGTAGGTGGTGCAAATGATAAACTTACATACTAACATTTAGATCAACTAAACGAATATGTTGTATTTTTGTATAATAATAATATATACTAATATGTACCAAATAAAATACAATAGACATACATAAATCTAAAAATATAATATACAATAACTACATTAACATTAATGACAGACAGTGAGAAAAGTCAGATATTTTAACGACACATACTCGTATACTCGCTAGCACTTGTCGAGTAAATCCAATCCTCGTTCCCTAATCGCAAATCGTCTCCCACATCATGTAAAATCTAATGAAATCGAAATCGACGTCATTTCAGCCTGTTTGAGTGAACTGCTGAATGACTGCCTCCACAGACTGCCATTAAGCACGATCCTGAACCACCTGTATCCATCGACTTACCGCACACTTGCACAGGGCGTCACCCAACCTAGTGGGGGGTCGAGCCATATGCAAATATTTTTTTTTTATTTTGAATACAATTCAATTGTTTTCACATCACTATTTTGGTGTGACCGATATCGTAATTGACACGATTCCACTTATCTATCTCTCCAACAGTCGGTGGTGGGTTTAAATTTACGTTACTTTCGGATATTAATTTTTTTATCAGAAGTGAATGATTAATTGTACCGTAATCAACGAAAGAGAAAAGGCACTGTAGTGTACTATACACATCATAATAGGCAATGACGGTAAGAGAACAACCAATATTTATTTATTAGCCTTAACACGAGCTGTCAATAAAACTGTTCATCGTTTTATACATAAACATATCTATGCTTATGTAAATATAAAATGAACAAATGAATAATGCACGTTAAGTTACCTTTCAAATACATAAATAAACACAAACACCACCCCCAGTGTAATTCAATGAAACAAATTATTAATCTGCAACATTATTAATTGGAAGAGATTTTATCGTGAAACAGTGCAAATTTCAATTTTCATTTAACATTTATATAATACAATGAACGTTTTTTTTCATTGTTTCTTTATGCGTGTAATTCGTTAGCGATGGAAATTGCCGGAGGTTAATTGGCGTGGTATAGAATCGATCGCTGTAATACGTACCTATTGGCGTACCTAAAGGCATTCAACTAAGGCCATTTTACTAACTATCGAACTGTGAAACCACGTGTAATCATGTTCGTTATTGCGCAGTAATCTAATAGATAAATTAGACTATATCACTGGTGAATAGCAATTTAAATCAGACAAAAAGCCTAAAGATGGTAAAGATTATAAAAATAATAGATATAGATTATAATAATCTCATAGTTAACCTTTAAATGTTCTATATCTCGTTTAATACAATCTTAAAAATCCATTCCGTTTCTTTATCGATTCGTGTGAATCAATTGTAGCTTACAATGCTGTTACACGTCCAACAGTTTAGTTATTGCAGTGGCGTGTCTTCGCGGTACACAAGTTAATTATTCAGACGCTTCATCAACGATTCCACGCCGCGTCCGCCGAAGCGATTAAGCGGCCGCCCGTGGACGGGAGACGTCACAAAAAGTCGAAAACCAATCTCCTAGTAACGTGGTTGCGTGAGTAATTTTGCATATCTTTACCCATGTATGCGCCATTTTAGAACAACTTGCTTAGACTGATTAGAGCCAAGCGTACTCTAGTGAAAATAAGTTAAGCATTTGTCTCATTTTGCATCAGCGCTACCAATCTGCGGTCAGTTTATTTTTTAACTTTATATTTCTAATGATTTTTAACATGGCTCCGCGTTAAAAATATACATTTTCTCATTAAGAACATTTATTTCTTCATGACACATTTGTGTTGATACTATAGTGAGTTTTCGTGTATTAATTTGTAAGTCAGGTAATTTTCTTGAGCCAATTTAAGTTTCCTTAGTGGATAACAATTTTTAGATATGAATTTTTGTGTTTATATTTGGCATGAGATTTTTTTATCGCTCCAGTACGTAAATGCTGCAGTATATGGTCATCTAAGTTTTGATTTACGAATCAAGTTTCATATCATATTGTATCATAAGTATTTCGCTTATAAGATAGTTCTCATTAAGAGTACATCAACGTTATCGATGTACAATCGAAGCGGTAAATAGCAAGTAAAAATGAATATTCCACCTCTGTTTATATTACGTTTCTGAAATTCGGTAAATGCATCGAGGTATCGCGGCAGCTGCCATAGTTTTTGACGACCATAACATCGCAGATAACTATGGCCAATTTTGGAAGTGTTTTCGTCATATTACCGGTATTCATTTATGATAATTGGGATAGCCTTGTTATTATTTTTTATTCGTAGAGTTTTATCAAAATCGGTTCTTTGCGAAGGTCCCATTTTTTTTAAGAAAGTTCTGCCCGGTGGTTATATATAGTTTATATAGGACATCAAATATTATGTGATGTTAAACTCCAATTCCTTCTTTAATGTAATAATGTCTTCAGCGGATTCAAATCCCACTAGCGCTCAAAATGGAGGCTTTCGCCGTTCGAAAGTTTCGGGAGAATTTTATACGGTGATTGTTATATCAATTTTTTACCAAGCCTTCTGTTGTTACCTACCAAAACGGTAACAATTTGCTACCAAATTAGAACTGTTCGGAGTAGAATTCATTACGTATTTCTGTGTATTTTCCGCTAGGGTATGCGATAGTAACAGCCTATATAATTATGTCCTAATACCTTCTTTGTGCTGATGTTATTACGGAATAAATAGTCCACATGAACTAACGGCGGATTGGCGGCCTTCACATATTACGTTCCAAATATTTTTCTTTTCACTATTATTTCTAAAATATACGATATACCTTAAGATGTTTTCCTTCACCAATGCAAATGTGACAGATCGGGACTTAAAATTGCATTTAGCAGATTCATTGTTTCTGATACCGAGATTTGAACTCAGGTAACTTGAGTACATCGAATCTAAAGCGAGTGACTGGACACTGAGCTATGAAGGCCGTTAGATTATGTGAGAGTTGTAACATTTTAAAATCTGATATGAGTACCTCCAAAATTCACTGAATCGTCTGCTTGATCGAAATTAATCACTTGGAGTGATACAGCTTTACAGCGAATCCCTGGAGGTCTAATGTGACCTGACAGCAGTGCCGTGAATACCGACGTCTTAATCTCGACATTGTGTAGTTGACTTGGACTGAAGTAAGCAATAGGCGTAAACTGTCCATTATGTCCGTCGAATGTCACAGCTCCAATATAATTCAAAGTCTATTTGGTATAATATTTGTACCAAGCGAATAGTGTAAAGCGAATTCGATATGTTAATATACTTATTAATATGAAGCGGTCGGGGTTTTATGTGAATTGGTTGAATATTAATAGAATGATGTACGATTATTGCCCAGTTTCCGAAAGGCCAATCAAAGCAGCAATCACATAACACTATGTCAAAAATGATCAGCTGTTAATCTCTTGTTAAACTGCCTTGGGTTTCTGGAAGGTTTGTTCAAGAAAAATTAGCTAATCACTGTATAACCAATGATAATGAATGAAATGAATGATTCGCTTCAACTAACTCTTTCTATTGTATATCTGTCCCTTTTTAAACAAAACTTAAATTAACGTCACTATCCAGTCCTGTCACCGTGTGATTGCCAACCTAAAAATCCGAGCTATAATAAAATATAATTTATATAAATACATGCAGAATGTCAAGAAAAAACTTTACAGAACGTGAAAAAAATGAACTTTTATCCATAATAAACAAGTAAGTATTATAAAAAGAAAGAATCCATATTATTTATTAACTTTTGAATTGCATTTTGTATTGTTTCTAATCGCATGATATGTTCGCATAATAATATTAAATAATAAATAGGTAATAGAACACATGAATGTCCTTACAACGTATTAGGCAATTATGTTTATTTTTCATAAAAACTAAGATTTGTGATAAAATACATTTTTAAACAACAGATTACTTAATGAAACTTTTGACAGCTCGTTGACCACCGAAAAACGCTTTCAGAAGTTCGATTTTCTGTTGATTAACCGTTAATCAGTGTTTAATTGCAAATCAAAATCAATGTTTTTCAAGAAGTTCTAGCAACTCAGATCGTGTTAAACAACGATTGACAAGAGATTTATCGTAAATTAAAATTGATTGCACTTTCGGAAACTGGGTGTAAGACTCATAGTCACATTTAATATACTCGTACACATAAGCAAAGACCAAACAGTTCCGTACTTTAGTAAATGTAAATATTCTTAATGATTAGCAAAAACTACGGTCACAAATGCTGCTGACTGGGTGGTTTGGACTACGATGAAATACTAATGCAACGATGCAAATAATTCAACTAGGAGTGTTTCAATAATAACAATTCTAGCTTACTGTGGTAGGGCCACGTAACGGCCTTCTCTGTGGCATGAATGTTCAGGTCCACCCAGGGAAATCACAGAAGACCAGCTTGAATTGAAAGTGTTACTTCTGCATTTTATCTGGTGAGTAAGGTAACTGGGGCCAGCTTCATTGAAATATGGCAATTGAAGCATTTGCAATATACTACAGGTGTTACAAATCGACGGGCGGCTATTACAACTTACTCAAAAAAATAAAATAAAGTAAAAGTTTTTTTTGGAGTTTCAGGTCAATGGTTCATTTTATTTTGTGTTTGCTGAAGAGTAAACACGAAAAGCTTGCGCCAGATAGTGTGGATTCGATACTCACTACTGGAAAATTATTGTTTTACGATCATGGTGTTTTTTTTTTCGGTATCTGAGTGTATATAAATAAAAAAAATGTATTCATTAACAAAAGAAAAGTATGTTTAAGTATGTTTATCAATTATCTAATACAAGGGTTTTTATGTTTGGGACTAGAAAACGTTCTGTAGGAATGTGTCCTGAAATATTTATTATTTATTTATTTGGAAGAAGCACGTTCACTTCTATTTCTGATTGTTGCGCTTTTGTGTGCATCTATACGGATGGTATGAAATAGCAATAAAATACGAGTTTACTTTAAAATCGTATACCATACACTTTGCTTGTAACCAAAGGCCGAGAGGGTGGTAGCTAGAAGAAAAACAATTCTCAGGAACTTATCACAGATCGATATACCTGTGAGAAGGAGCTGGATCGAGGTCGTCTCGAATACTACCGCTTCGACCAAAATAATACCCGTACGTACAAATGAAAACTATTACCAATCTATCTATCTCGGAAGCGTTTTCATATAGTTCACAACAGGAATCCGCAGTTTCATAACATCGGTTGGAAAGTATGCATTTCAGTGCGGCTCCGTATTATCAAATGTAACGTAACGGGGAATCGCAACAATACAAACACCGCTTCCCCATCTACGGAATTCTCTACCAATGGCGTCAGTGAACTACGCCAGTCTATTTGTGCAAGATATATTTCCATTATATCTAGTTGACCCAGTTGGCGCCGGTGCACGCCCTTGCGACGTATACACCCGACAAATAATTGTGTACAGTTCAAATTCAGAGAAAGAGATCTCAATTTTAGATTTTCACCCGTTGGCAATATCTAGCGTTGAGATTAAATTTCGCATTAAGCGTCTAAGTGTTCAAACGATATGCGTTTGGACGTTTATAAAATGTGCGTGCACAATATATGTATACAATTCCGTATTCGTTTATTACATATCGACTGTGCAGTATTTATAAAAGCCTCTGAAGTATTTGAGCAAAATTAGCTCAGTTTTCTTGCACAAAAAACCCCTTGTGGTTTAATATTTAAGAATTAATACACAGTGATTCAATGCTGTCAATTCCTTCCTATAAATAAAACAATAAAATAATCATCAATAATCATAAAATGATAAATAATCATAAAACAATCTGGACATTGCTATTGTTAATCACCTGCTAGACTGTAAAATAAACTCGCTCCTGTTTAAACAACGAAGTAGTGTAAATAATTAAATGTCCGTACCGCCTTCAAATTAAATGCTTATTATGCACTAGTGCTGAAGAAATTACCGACGCTCCAACCTTGTAATTTATCTAGCGGAGTTATCTCGCAACGTCCCATCTGACTCCGGGGACCAATGCAAAACGGGCTGAGAGGGCGGCGTAAAATAATTTGATATCCACGCGCCGTTTAGGGTATAATCTTCGCGCAACTTTCGTATACAAAATTTGGGCTTGCTTCTATAACTGTTATATATAGGACCATGTCGTAAAGGAGTGTTAGGAGAAATATCATTGCCGTTTCTTTTTGGATATTGTATCACTTAATTAGATGAAAACGATAAAATCACATACAATGAAGATAACGCAACATAAACTTGGACTTTACTAAATTTCAATACTTTACTAAATTCGATAAGAAGGCTCACAATCTATAAGAACGCTTTCCGAAAATATGTCTGGAACATTGGCATCGTTAAGATATTCCACAATGGTATATATAATATACTTTAGCCATAAGTTTACTTCCAATTTTTCGTTTTAATTCATCAAGTGGCAGACTTTATATGGACTGTGGGTTTTATTATATAATAAACTAGCGACCGCTCCGGCTTCGCATGGGTGTAAATGTATCATGCATATAAACCGTCCTCTCGAATAAATCTATCTAATAAAAAAAAAAACGCATCACGATCCATTACGTAGTTTTAAAGATCTAAGCATACATAGGGAAACACAGACAGCGGGACGATTTTTAAATGAAGCTAATTTTTACGGATTTATCACGATGATTTATCGCGTTTATTTTAATTTTGATTCCCGACGTTTCGAACCCTTTACAGCGTTCATGGTCACGGGACAGACTGAGGCTTTGGACGTCTGATTGTCATAGTTAACCAGGGCTACCCTCAGTTTCTGAATTATTAATTTTGTTGGAACGACTTTCGTTCTATAGTATGTTGTGATTAAATAGTTCTATTTAATACGATGTGACTTACCCAACGCGAATCCATCCTTCGCCCATTGCACCTGACCCGCTAAGTTGGCTACGGCGCACTCAAGGACAGCCTCTGCGCCTTCCTGCACTCGCAGGCTACGTGGGACCACCCTGAAGTATTGCTGCTGGAAGGCGCACGCGCTTGCCAGTACTGCGAACAAGAATTTAGCTATTTATTAACGATATGATGGTGGCCGGAGCTCAATTTTTAAAAGGTTGTCAACGCATCTGGAACCCTCTAGCAGATGTCCAGGGGCGGTGGTGTTCACTTAACATCAGGTAAACCGTCAGCTCGCTTGGAAACTTTTCACTTAAAAAAAAAGATATGTTTTCGAAGTAAATGGATGCAGTGGTCTCGAACAGGCAGAAATAATGATTATATGTAAATGATATAAACCAATTAAGTTAGTGGAAATTCTTTACATAATCGGTACGGTGTGTCCTAAGTATTATACTGTTTAAATATCAAAATTAATGATACTAGAAGTAGGTATTATACCCCTAAATGATTTTCTGTGGAGAGAAGAGTTAACACATAGACAGTCTCTATCTCAAATTAATATATGTATAACCTATCAGGTAGATAGACATTTCAATCAATTCTTTACACATTTCAGTTTACAAAGTTCAATAACGCCGAGTGTACTGAAACTAGATGTTTAGACTAGTACTCATTCTGATTTTAATGCTTGTTTACTCCTGAAAGTTATTTCACCAAAAATACTTAATATTGCTATGCTGCAAATTTGAAATTGGTCGCGTTAAATTTAGGTAATACATTGTCGTTTGAATTTAATATTCTTTATAAATAAATAAATATTTAGTTTACATAAATTACATTACATTTAAAAAAAGAAACGCTTCGCTACTTCAGAATAGAGCAGCGGTCGACTGTCAGCTCATAGCAGTACATCTGTATATCTACGAACGTTTGTCGTGAAACAGCAGTGTGCGAATAGTTCGACGGGCCCCTGCCTACACTTTCCGAGACAAAGGATCCTTCTGGTTCATCGGAGGCTAATATGATAGCGGCAGCAAGTGGGTGACGAGTGGCCATACTTATAAGACGGCGCGACGCACTCTCAAAAGGTGAACGCTCCTTGGTGGTGTGTGGTCCAAGAATAAAAAAAAAAGAAAAAAAAAACCCAAGATTGAAATTAAATAATAGTCACAGATGTAAGCTCGTAATGATTTTTAGTGTGTACCGATATTATAATAAAGAATGTTCTCATTGATTACTTTACATGAATTTTATATATTATTTTTTTTATATTCTATAATATTTATTTGAATATTCTTTTGCTATAATAGGGCCACGCAATAGTCTTTGCTGATGCACGAATGGTCCATCTGGGTAAGTACTGCACAAAAGATGCATCGTCGCGTTCTAATTAATTTTAATGAATTAAATTAATATTTACAAATGTCTTACTTCAATCAACAAATTAAGACAACAATCCTTGTTATTAAAATATTCTACACCACTAATATTAATTTCATTAAGATTTTTTGATGTATTACGTTCATTTTTGGGTATGAATTTCTCTTTTAGAGGTAGTTTCATGATTTTTTTTCTATCGAGAAAATATATCGAGAATATGTTTTGAAAACAATATTCCATTAGAATGTAAGAACAAGATTAACATGTAATTTTTTTGCTGCTATAAAATGTATAGATTTAGCTAAAAAATCTTTTGAAAAACCTATTTTACTGCATACAGCGCCTTAAACAAAAACATACAATATGTTGATTTAATACAAGTAAGTACTGTATTTCTTACAAGGCTCATTAAATTCAAAAATAATAGGTTGGCAGACTGTTGAGATTTGATTCGCAGACATCGAATTCAATGATACCTACCATATCAAGGTTTTCTTTAGATGTATGAACATAACTAGGATATCATATTGTACATCATTCATTTATAATAATGTTTATTCGAATTTCAGACGCTCCTACTTGATATTTAGCGAAAAGTTCTGCGAAATGTATTTTATTTGAAAGCGTCGACAAGGTCTTCGTAAAATTTTTGTTGTCGATTCAGAAATGTTTCCATTGAATATTTGTGACTAACTTTACTTACATAGGAATAATACAGAATTATACAGATAAAAAATGTTTTTTTTTCATAACTCATGAATAAGTTTGTCTGCAAAAAATCTTCCCTGTGACTCCCGCACGTTTTATTATAAACTAGCTTTGCCCGCGACTTCTCCGCGTGGAATTTAATAAGAATAAATGAAAGTAGCCTAAGTTACTCTTTCATCTACCAGTGAAATCCCGTCAAAATCGGTCAACCGGAGAAACAGACAGACAGACAGACAAAAATTGTAAAAAAAAATATTTTGGTAATATATGTACCGTGTAAACATCCATATGCATTTAATAAAAATCAGTTATTTATAATTACAAACGGACACTCCAATTTTTTTATAAATGTATAGATGTTAATAGACAATATAAAATGCCCTTCGGTCCAAATGCCAGATTAAAAGAGCCATAGCTGTAGTAAAAAGAAAGAAGTAAAATGGAATTAAAACCACGGAAGCGTTCTTCTAAAACGTCAAATATGATTTGAACAGCCAGTATTGCCACAAGTATTCGTTTGTTGTTAACATTAATACTCTCAATATTTTTCAATTAAGTTCAAAGTTTGATTCTTTTTTCCTCGATAAAATATGTATATCAGATAAATATCAATTAAATATGTACCTGTCGTTGTTTAAGGCTCCTTTAGTGTATGTTATGGATTTAAAACAAAACTCGAGATTCAAATTTCCCACGCTACCCGCCTGTTACTTGGGGCGCGTTTTAAGGCGCAGTTTACACTAACAATCTTAGGCAGACTACACACGTGTGACAAGCGGGCTTAAATTAACAAACGCCTGTTTGTTATTCCAATTGTCAGTGGCATGTTGTATAGCATAGGCTTTGCGTGCGGATTTCCTTGCGTGTTTCGATCCGACGTGCCTCTGTCCTGTTATCAAGACCTGTATATAAATGGGCTTAATTTTGTGTTACGTCGCACTCTCAGATTGTTGTATATTAAACCAATGAGATGTACGATTGTTCAGTCCTTGTTAATAATAAATATGGTTTTTTTTTTAATAACTAAACTTACAAAAACTTATGTTATTTAAAAAAAATAGGTGATAACAAGACCGCAGAGTTTCTTGCCGGTTCTTCTCTGGACAGGTCTAGTTTAGTGAACTGGTGGTAGTATTTTGACGTTCAATGAGAGCTTAAAAATCAAGCTTATAATTTTTAAAAATTTTTGCCTTTGACTTTATTTAATAAAGCTTAGCTTAGCTTTAGCTAAGATGCGCAATAAAATCCTACAAGTTCTTACGCGTATCCCGGGCGGCTATGATCGAATTGCGTCTAGGTCGATTCATCCTCGAAGGCATTTTCTTACTAATCACGCTATATACTTGATGTTTTAGTGGTTAAAATATGAATTGAAACTGAATTATTTAGCGGTAGCTCATTATCCAGGCGATCTTATAGGACATTAAGTCTTTTTTTTTAATTTAGTGACCGTTTCACATTTAGGCTTAAAACATTATTATGACATTATCTTCAAGCCCAAATTGCTTTGTTTTCCTAAAGTACATTGTTGACAGTTTCCTAAATGCTACTTTCGATAGACAACTTTAACTGCTCAGCTTTCCGCCTTTTAGGCACGCAAAACACTGGACTAGCAAAAACCTGCCTACTAACGAGAGTTCTACCCAATGTGTAATGAGTGCACGTGATCTTTATTTAAGGCTGCGGCTCTCTTCTATATCGGGAAGAATAAAATACAATATTTTCATCGGAATGATGCGAAGAACTTGCACGCGACGGACCCAGAACCGGTAATTAACAGGCCTGATACATTCTCACGCACACGCACACACGTAAACGTCGTAGCAATAGCGACAATTATAATGAGTATAGGAGATTTTTAAATTATCCACACATGCACGCATAACACAGACGAATGTAAGCCCTAATCCAATGAAGTCAGAGTGCAAAGTGAAGCGGACAGAAAAGCACTATCCGACGTTCCAGCGATTCGATCTTGGCGACGATAGTTACAAACGGGATCGGGATAACCGCTTATTGCTTTTGAATTTAGAACGCTTAGTTGCGGTCGCAGCGCCGTTCGTCGGAAGTTAAATAGAAAGTTATTAGAAATTTTATTAGTGGCCAGTGTTTGGGTTTACGGCGACATTTTATCGTTTTTATTTGCTTCATTTTCTCCCCCGTTTCCTTTTCCTTGCGTAAGAAATGAATTTAGAGGTGCAAAAGCTATAAATAAATCTATAAATCGCGTAGTTGCTTTCGACGTATAGCTTTTGTAGAATTAAGCTATTTTTACGGATTTAATCGTACGAACTTCCTAACGTTTCGCACTTAAGCTAAAAGCAGCTATTGAATCATCCAATAACAAAAAATAAAGTGTTTTCTTTAAATTAATTACAAAATTTCAAGCTTTCATGCATTGTTGATACATTTTAAAATTGGTGCTCATTAATTAAAAAGACAAAAGTTACAGAAAAACTCTTTCTCAATTGTATTATTCCCATTGACACTCGCGTAGTCAATAGGTATCTAAATGGCAGATTAGCAGATATGATGAAATCACAGGGAGGGACATATATGTAAAACTAAACTATTTAAATAACCCATTAACCTGTTTTACATCCGTTTCGCCAATCTTCTGCACATGACTGTTGTTACCATTTGTATTTTGACTGAAAGAGATTGGGTAGTTGGTTTTAAGCAGATTTCTTCCGATGTTTTCCTTCACCGTTGAGCACATGATATATCAGCATATTAATTACAGTTAATAATTTCACTGATACCGACACTGGAATTGGAACTTGGGTTGAGTAGATTGATTAGAAAGCGAGTGCCCGGACACTACCCTGCAATGCAATTACTTAATGTTATCCGTCCCAAAGTAAAATTAATCAAGAAATTTCACAAACAAACCCTAATAAGAAAAGGCAGTTAAGGATTAAGTATTGATATAGAAGCATTGCAATATTTTTCCTTATGTAATGTCCGTGCGGATTAAGCATAACTTTGTAAGTTTACTAGCTGACCCGGTAAACGTCGTTTTTCCATATGAATTATTTGGTACGAAAAAGTAGGGGTTGGTG